GAGTGTGCAGTGAACAGCTGAGGTGGGGCCACCTAAAGATTTGGCCTGACTGAGCTCCAGTCTTGTCGTATATAAGATGAGGATCATTAACTGTCACTAAGGATGTTTCAGCTCTTGCATGGTCAGTTCCATCTCCTTACTGCTAGGGCAGCCTCTACTATTGTAAAGAGTTATCAAACAGAATTGCCTTGGCCCTCTAGTCCATGAAAATGAAAGAAAGAAACAGAGCAATATACTAATGCCTATTGAGTGATAACTGAACCACTGCAGTTTTCATCCCATATCTTATTTAATTCTTATAACAATGTCATGAATGTAAACATTAGTCACATTTTACAGGTAGGGCAAAGGAAGCTCAAAGAAGTCAAATAAGGGCCAAGTATCCCAGTGAAGATTAGAAAACAGAGTGGCCTGACATAGCTTAATCTCTTCCCTCAATGCCATATTGTCTCACCAAAGCATTTAGGACAGAGGTTCTCAACCTTCCTAATGCCTCCTAATGCCGTGACCCTTTAATACAGTTCTTCATGTTGTGGTGACCCCCAACCATAAAATTATTTTCATTGCTACTTAATAACTGTAATTTTGCTACTGTTATGAATCGTAATGTAAATATCTGATATGCAGGATGTATTTTCATTGTTACAAAGGGGTCGTGACCCACAGGTTGAGAACCACTGATTTAGACCCAGGAGAAGGTCCCACTCCAATGCCTGATTATGTACCTTCCAACCCCAGCTTCCAGGTCATTGCTACTTACCATCCCGCACCAGGATATGATTCAGTACGTAGACAAGGGGGAAAGGGCCAGCACCACAGATAGTGCCCTTGACGTCATCAGTGTCCAATGTCCACACCATGGCACCCCCAAAATGCTCTCTCTTTACAAACCAGGCCTGTAAGAGTAACAGTTAGTCAACCTGCTGTACTGGCTACCCTCTAGTCGGAGTACCATGACAAAAAACAGACCTCACGAGGTATTGTAACAGGGTAGGTAGGAGTACAGCCTGCATTTGAGTCCAGCCTCTGCAGCCTCCTCAGGAGGTAAAGTAGCAGGGTAGCTAGGAGTATAGCCTGCATTGAGTCCAGCCTCGGCTGCTTGTTAACTAGGAAATCTTGACAAACTTATATAGCCATTATGTATATTTTTTGTTTTGTTTTTGTTTCTTTGTTTTTGAGATAGAGTCTCACTGGGTAGAGACGCCCTGGGTAGAGTGGTGTGGCATCATCATAGCTCACAGCAACTTCAAACTCCTGGGCTCGAGAGATACTCTTACCTCAGCCTTCTCTTTAGAGAGAACTACAGGCTCCCACTGCAATGCCCGGCGAGTTTTTCTATTTTTTAGTAGAGACAGGGTCTCCCTCTTGCTCAGGCTGGTCTCAAGCTTAAGCAATCTGCCTGTCTTGGCCTCCCAGAGTGTTAGGATTCTGTGAGCCACCCCACCCAACACCCTTACCTATCTTAATTGCTTCATTTATAGAAAAATGGATAACATTTCTAACATTTTTAGGATTGAAATAACTGCTACATGCACATATTACAGTACAGATGAAATATGCTAAGTGAACTAAACGAGAGAAACTGTATGATTCCACTTCATATGTGGTACTTAGAGAAGTCAAATTCATAGAAACAGAAAGCAGAATGGTGGTTGCCAGTGGCTAGAGGAGGGAAGAATGGAGAGTTAGTGTTTAATGGGCACAGAGTTTCAGTTTGGAAAGAGGAAAAAGTCCTGGAGATGGATAGTAGTGATAGTTACATAATAATCTGAATGTACTTTATGCTACTGAATTATAATTTTATGCCACTAAAAATCAAAGTGGTAAATCTTGTTTTATGTTATATAACTTTTCTTTAAAAATTCCTACACATATTACTTGGATTAATGCTTGCCACATAGTTAATATTCAGTAAATATTAGCTACTAACCCTCTGGGTTCCCTAGCCTGCTAACTACCATTATTATCATACTAAGCTATACACTTAGTACTTAAAAATCACTTGCTTGTCTCATAATGATGCCATAAAGTACAGGTAGAACAGATGATATTGAACTTTTTTGTTTGTTTTCTTTTTTGGAGATAGAGTCTCAAGCTGTTGCCCTGGGTAGAGTACCATGGAGTCACAGCTCACAGCAACCTCTAACTCTTGGGCTTAAGC